CTTTCGAAAATCATTATATTTTCATCGTCATTCCTTAATATTTTTTCATTTCAGGCAACTCCAAGACGAAAATAAATGTATTGTAGGCCGAAAGAGTGTGTGATTTTTTTTTCTTTATTATTAACGTTTGCATAATTTTGGAACATGCAATGTTACAACGCTAGAATTGTATTTAAAATTTTTTAAGAACGAACATTTATTTTTAATATCGTAATGTGGTAAATCCACGATTTTTTTGACGATGAAAATGGTCGTAGGACAACTAATCGACAAAATAGTTTCTAGACGTGATGAAAATCTAATGCAATCACAGATGATGCAATACTTTTCAAGGCCAAAGAAATGTCATCATGCATCCCGAAAATAGATTCATATTACTGCATACCACTGCAAATGACCTAGTCTAAAACTGATTGTATGGTGAAAGAAATGAAAAGTAAAGCGGTTGTTTCAATTAATTTGCACAAGGGTGTAAGGTTAAATTGGCAGCTGATTTAAAAAAAATATCAAATTGGCAAATGATCTATATTCTGTTTTTAACTGATGCAAAGAATGGTATGCTAATTTTAAACCTTCAAAAACGAAACTACTATCTTTTAATTGTCTCAGAGAACACTTTTTAACTTCCATCAGTATGGCTGATTCTAACCTCCAGGAGAGTGACTTACTGCGTGTTTTCGGACTAAAGTTTCCGCTGACATGAACTGGAAATAGTAGATTGAATACATTGCGTAGTCTTCTGCTAGGAAAGTTTGTTCGTGTTAGTTTTTCTCGACCGAGTCTATCGTACATTTTTTAAGCCTACCATTTTGTCTATACCTTGAGTATTGCTACCACACCTGGTCTAGTAATCGTGCTATATATTCAGAGATTCTTGGTTAATTAAACCCAATGGAGAATCTGAAACCATATTGGTTTTGACATGGAATATCGGCTTCAGACACTCTCCCACCGTCGTAATGTAGGTTCCCTGGGCCTTTTCTCTAAATACTTTCATGGCAACTGTTGGCGTGAACTTTTCTCTATGGTACCTAGAATTTATGAATTCAATCATTGTTGTACAGTGGCTACAAGTTCACATCATTTTACAGTTCAAGTGTCTAGATGTACCCAGATGTACTATGATAACAGTTATTTTACTCGCATTTCTCGCTTATTGAACTCTCTTCCAGCTTATTGCTTCCCAAACAACCTTGATCTTCAAGAATTTAAAACAAAATCAATCATTATCTACTGCCTTCTTAATTTTGGTTCTTTTATTTTTTCTCTTGCCTTTATAGTATATTTTTTCTCATAGTCTCTTCTGTAACTCTCCTTAATCGCTGATGTCTTAGTGTCGGTATTGCCTTACTAATTCCTTTTAAGCACACCAACTACTACTTCAACTTGCAAAGAAATGGCTGGTAGGGCTTACTATACACTATCTTATGTTATTAATTTTTTCTCTTATTAAATGAATTTTAATGAATCTGCTTTTATTGATCGAATATATAACATGTCGAGGCAATTTGTTCATCGGGAGGATATCTCTTCCCCAACATCGCTTGTTAGGCTTTCTATGTCATTGACCAGGTATGTAGTAACTGGCGCTGTGTTACCTGCAAGGAAAACGGGATCGACAAGCCAGGTTAATATTTTAGCTTCATTTGCTCATCCATCTTTCGTACTAATATGATTTTAACATTTTTACATAAGTCATGAGTCCACTTTTCCCTGTGCTGTGTCCACTCACAATATGCCCTTGCCACGCAATGTAATGGATGTCATTATAGAAAATGAAATTCGAGAAAACGAATATGAATTTGACGGTTCTTGTCTTCACTTAATATTAATGTCTATAAGGAAAGGCATGTACCTACTTGTCCCTGTTCTCTCTCAACGTACCATTTGCAGATGCAATCTAACGTAATTTTTATCCGCATAGAAATTCAAATTCAGCGGAATTCAAATTTCGATTACGGTTTATTATATTCTCTTATCATTATTGGTTTTAAGGCAAGGCATGAAACATCTTTTCCCTGTTCGGGATTCTCTTATCATTTACAGATGCAATAATGTCCAATGCTTAAGCGCATATAAAATAGACTTTGGAAAAAAAAAATATTTCGATTGGGACTGTACTGATTTCACTTATGACTAATATCCATAAAGCAAGGCATGAATCCATTTCTCCCTGTTAGCTATCCCTTCAACATTTACAAATACAGCGTAATGTAATGGTTATAAACATAGAAGCTAGAATTGGGAAAAGAAATTCAAATATTAATTGAGGACACTTCTATTCACTTAACACGAATGCCTCGAATAAAAGACATGAATCCATTTGTGTATCCCGGAAAGGACACCTGCCTGTTTATCTTTGTGGACAGAGATTTTTTTCTTGTTCCGATTCTCCATGACACTTCCGGCTTACATGCGCATTTTGTGTTCATATCATTCGTCTCTAGAACCACATCTGCTTTCCTTCTAGTTTATTTTAGATTCATGTTCACCCTGTAAAAGACCCAAGAGCCATTCAATGTAGAGGGGCACAGAGCTAATTTAAAAAGGAAAGGTCTATGGGGATATGTAAGAAAAAAAATAACAGTTAACTTTTTGAGTACTTGACGGGTCCAACTAACATCAGTTATCTTCAGAGTCTGTCTATATTTCTGAGATGAGGTATTATGTACAGTATTTACATTAGTCGGAATAATGTCCTCATCTTTGTCGCCATATTTGTCACAACGTTTCGGTCGTTGTACGCTCCGGCCTTCTTCAGGTGGTTGGAATTTCGAACTGAACCCTTTATTTCGATCACTGGGGTAGACTGTTCTAGTTCCACGTGCCATGTTTGATGGATCTCCCACTAACTTTCCCTTTGAAAGTTCTCCACTGCCTTAACCGGGTATTGAACTCACACTCTTTGGGTCTCTCACTGGATCTAACCAACGCTTTTATCCACTGTGCCATGTGTCCTTTAGGACACATGGCACAGTGGTATGAATTTCTGGGTATTATAAACCTAATGTTTTCAGCAACCATTCCAACCACCTGAAGAAGGCCGGAGCGTACTACGGCCGAAACGTTGTGACAAATATGGCGACAAAGATGAGGACAATAGTCCGACTAATGTAAATACTGTATCAATTATCTTATTTTGTTTTTTGATATTTTTAGCTTGATTTTTTAGGGGCTCATTCCCTCCCCATTTATTGCGTATCATATACACATTTTTATACAGGGTGTCCATAAAATTGGGATTGGAACATGTAATAATCTAAGACAAATTGAAAGAAGTGGGGACAGAAGGATAATGAAAATAATCTACATAACAGGTCTGGGCGAATGAATGGAAGAGAGGAGGCAGGAATAACAAAGATTCGAAGACACTGGGATATTTCAAGAGATTCTATCACACAGGCCCTAAAGAAACACGGCACATACAGGGTGTCCATAAAGTTCGTGTGCACTTTAGAAAATTATAACTTTATTTGTATTTGCGATGAAATAATCTGTAAAAAAATGTTATAAAGTTTAATGTACCTAGTTTTAAGTATAGCTAAAATAACTAATGTGATTTCAGGCATTACTGTAAATCAAGTTGGCAAATATTTACCGTGAACTGCAAAATCGTATTACCCTTTGTATTGCTAATGATGGAGGACATGTGGAAACTTAAATAAAATTTCAATAAAACCTTGAAAAAAATATAGATTTACTTCTTTCTAATCCTTTTTACAAATTATTTCTATCGCAAATAGAAATAAAGTTATAAATGTTTGAAAGTGCACACAAACTTTATGGACACCCTGTATATAGATTGTTATACTCATTACATTTTCATGTCATTGGTATGTTTTGTAGGTCCCTGAGAGTACGCAGTATTATGGTATATGAAGGATTGAATGATGATGGACGTGTTCTTAGGGTGGATATGCAATTTATAACGAATGAATGGGTCGTGAATCGGATTAGCTTGATATGAGATAGTAAGTGACGATAAGTCTCAGTTCTTTTGCCCTTTTAGATCTTGTGCTAAAATTGTATTTTATTTACAATAAATTTCGACATGAACAGGTTAATACTGCAGTGACCGAGGAAGCATCCTCTTGGGAGTCGGTTTAACAAATAGCGGTTGGTGAGAAGAATCTATTCGAATGGAATTGACATTTCCCCAATAAAATACGAATGTAATGACGCCGGTTCGCTACAATGTGCGTGGGATGGCGGGTGTTAGCCCTGAAGGTTATAACTGGAGGGATTAAAGAACAGGAATTGGAACTCGTGTCTTCTTTTACCAATTCCTTGATATTATCCATTACACCAGCCGCATATCCAATCTTACATCATTTGGTGTTCTCAAGCGTTCAATCATCTCGGTACTGACCAGGCTTACCGTTGCTTAACTTTTGTGATCGTACGGAACTGGTGTTTCAACGTGACGTGTACGTAAACCTTTAAACATGTAAAGAGAAATAAATAAACAAATACACAAACGCACACACACACACACAGACATGCACACACGCATACAGCAGAATTTATTTAAAAAATGGACAAGGGTAGATTAAATCATAGAACTCTTGGTATACATAAGAAGCACGTACATTTATCTCGATGTTGACATGTATGTGCAAGTATACACAGATAAACATAGGGACAGATCTATCTCTCACTTCTATCTCTCTGTGTCTAAACCCACACAGGGAAACGTGGCCAAGCTCAACAAAGGTGAAAAAAAAATAAACTTGCCGACATGAGTATAAATAAACCGTCACATGGTGTCAAGTGGTTCCTCGACATTGTTGTCGGCCAGAGTTTAGGGGAAGAAAGGACTTGTTTGATTGGCAGTCCAAGACGCGTCCCGTTGATCCCAATCGATTATTCCTCATTCGATATTCAAGCAAATGTCACTCAGCGTGACAATTCCAGGAATGCATTCATTGGCGAGGCCCAGGAAAGCTTGGCCAAACCAACAGCTTTTCTCAGCGAGATTCGCAGCTTTGTTTTACTTTTATTTATCGACATTTTCTTCTTGTTGCTTTTTTCTTTGTTTGTTTCTCATTGGATAGATTCTTGTCAACGAGAAATGCCATGTTTTGGCTTGACTTTTTGAAAGAAGAAGAAGAAGAAAAAGAAGAAGAAGAAGAAGAAGAAGAAGAAGAAGAAGAAGAAGAAGAAGAAGAAGAAAGACGAGGTGGAGGAAGAGGGGAGGGAACGAAGGAGAATGTTGGATGAAGGAGAGAAATACTAACAGGGAGAGAAAAAAGAAAGAAAGAAAGAAAGAGAGAAAGAACGAATATAGTTAAATGTGAAGTATTGTATGGATTAATATTAGCATCCTTTTAAAGAATTATTAATTTTAAATTCATACTCCCATTCTCTAAATTTTTAAACTCATTGGTCAAGTTTTTTTTTTTTTTAATGTTTTTTGTTCATTTTTCCTTTTTGCACAGGTGTTGACAGATTACATTTAGGTCTGCGTCCATTTTCAAAAGTCTTGTTTAGCTGTACCGATTCCACAATAACCACTTTAGAAAGCTTACTCCTTCATATCTGTGTAACTCCATCCTCTGTTGTGGGCTAATACTATATTCCCTCTCTTTTTATTCTTTTCTTTTTTCCTTCTTTCCTTCCTTTACCTTTCAAATTTCCTTTCACATTTGAAGTAACGTGGCAATTCATTCAGTTTAGTAAGTGTATTTGCATTGCTAAGTCCGGGGAAAACTTTCTTTCCCATGGACATAACGGTCATCTCTATGAAGTAAATTGTTTGGATCTCATTAATTGTAATTCACACACACACGCACACGCACCCCCATATATATATATATATATATATATATATATATATATATATATATATATATATATTAAAATTAATTGATTTAAAATATGTTTTTTCCGCTACACTGTTCTAACCATGTTTCAAAAATGGAAGCTAAAAGCCAGGAATTTAATTTTGTAATTAAATTAAAGACATTAGCTTCATTTCATCCTCAAGCGAATTTTGGAGTAACTTTTAAAATTACTGGGGTTTAAAGACACAGTTAAAATCATAATTCATGTTTCCAAGGTTACAGATTAATCCAATTTACTAGACGAGAGTTGTCTCGGTGTCTATATTTTAATGTATCAGTTATTGCTACGTTACATTAAAATATAGACACCGAGACACCCTGCGATTAATGCTCTGTAAATTTACATTGAGCACTAATTTGTAAAAATAAAAATATCTATAAGAACACCGGATTATATATCTTACTGTTCATTCTTTTTATATATATATATATATATATATATATATATATATATATATATATATATATATATATATAAATATATATATATATATATATATATATATATATATATATATATATATATATAAAACCTAAAGAGCCAGAAAAACTACCTAGGTTTCACCTACGCGGATCGTGAGGGTAAACTGGCTAAAGAGGTGATATAAGAACAGAAAATACCTGAGCACTTTGCTTAGTTATTTTTGCTTTGTTGGAGTTTTTTTTTCTTTGGACTCTGAACTTAGATTCTAGACGATTATTTTCGCCGGAAGTACATGTCCTTAGTTCTTTCTGTTTTTACCCCTTTTTTCCTTGCGTATTGTTTTGTTCATTTACAAGCTAAAACACCTCAGGTTTTGCCGGACGAGTATAGCTATAGCTGCTTACATTTATAAGATTATTAGTATTATATATATATATATATATATATATATATATATATATATATATATATATATATATATATATATATATTGTATTTTTTTGTGTGTGCATATTTGTATTCGACGTAGCCTTGTGCATTCTCTTTCTGAACACATCACGTCATAATGTCCTAAGGTCTACTTTTGACTGCCCTTTTGATTGTTTAGAAATAAACTGTGTCAATCTGTGTCGTGAAAGATTTATCTATTCTTTGATGCTGTAGTAATAATGTTTGACCCTCGCTTACATCCGCACATTGGCATCGTAATACTCTCTACATATTTTCCCTTTCTCCCCTCTGGTGCCGGTGACGAATATGACCGTGAAAGCACTGGCTACTCCTGAAGAGTAGGCAAAGACAGTTTGCGAGGCCACTCACCTGAATCTGGGCGACGGAGAAACCGTCATATCTGGACAGAAGCCTCCCTCACGGCTGAAAAAATTAGTTCCCATGCCGTAAATCGAATCCGGGCAGCCTAGGCAAAAGCCTTGAATGGAAATTACTAGGTATTGATGCTGTATATTTAAGGAATCGCTTGCATTTTACTGTTGAAACAATTGAGATTTCCCCTGAATATACACGTTTTTAGAGTTTCGTACTGAAGTTAGAAAAAGACTGTCATAGTTGACCTTACGATGAACGGAGGAAAATAAAGTTTAAATCTAGACTCCATAGTCTGTTTGAAGAAAACCTGAAATAAAAATACTTACTGTATAAACAAATCGTTTTTTTTTTTAAATCACATGTATATTACCCTCTGAATGTTCACATTATCAAACATTGAAATTGCTTTCAATATTAAAAAAAAAAAAAATTTCGTTCGAAGAAAGTTGAAATAACAATATTAAAAATATTGTTTGTTTAAAGAAAGCTGAAAGATAAATAAGTTCGCACGGAATCACGGGAAGGTGGAAAGGGGGAGAGGTGAGTGGAAAGAGAGATATACACGTTTTTAGAGTTTCGTGCTGAAGTTAGAAAAAGACTGTCATAGTTGACCTTACGATGAATGGAAGAAAAGAAAGTTTAAAGTTTAAAGTTTTATTTTTCTCCATTTCCTTCTCTCCTCCCCACTTCCTACAATAATAAATTCATATCTTTATTTCACCACTCTCTATATATGACTTCTGACCAACACGCAAGAAACGTTCACAGACTTTTGTAGTAATAAAGATTAGAAATGTAGTATATTTATTTTAGTTAATATGAAAAGAAATTAAATTTGATAAAATGGCAAGACTTGAATATTCGGAATCGCCTGATGATTTACAGCAGTAGATGTTTCAGTTCCTGGTTTTGGAAAGGCATGGAAAATTATCATGTTTGAATGCGTAAATATGCAAAGTGTAGGACCTAATTGTGAACAACACCTTTACTGAATGAAGTCTTTTAACATGAATGAACTTAAACATGTCTTACGGCGTTAATGACCTGATTTATTGCGTGACTTTTGTTATAAGGATCACGTGCTTCTGGGTCGTTTGAGCTGTGGGATCTGAGCGATTTTCTTGATTATGCAAAATCCATGACTCATCAATCCTGTGCTATCAAACAATTGAAGGGAAGAAACACACAAAAGGAAACGAATGAATTAAGTTATTTGAATGTCGCTAACCTTACCTCTCATTAACATATTCTTAAAAGAAAGGTTTTGCATAAACATGACATGTTGGAGCAATTTAGGTTGTGAAAAAAGTATCTCAAATGGGATTAATAAAATCCGATTTTTTCCCCGATATCGATTCCTTGGAAATCAATTCTTTTTTTTAAAAGCATGAAATACCTCTCTTTCAGCAGTTATCTGCTTAAAGCAACTTAAATTTCTTTTTAAAAATAAATCCTTTTAAGAATATTTAAAATCGAAAATATTCTTTTGTGATGCAATTTTTTAAAATGTTGATCGGATCCAACATTAATATGGGAAAGAGTTCTTTATCAAAATAAATGAGAACTTATAAAAATCCTTACATATTAAATTGCTTATATTTGCCCTAAGCTGAAGATACCCGTGAACGTCCAAAACCTGGACACAACACATCAAAAAGAAGATTAATTATGGGGAATCAATTTATTACTTGATGACACAAGAGAACCAATCCCCTAGTCCTATAATATTGTAGCATTTTTTTATTTAATTTCAAATCGAGAGAGAAATTACGTTTGAACAAGTGACAAATTTAAATATTTACTATCGCCTGACCATTGTAGGGAGAAATGAGTTATTGTTTTTGGAGCGTGCAGTAGCAACGCTGAGTTTGATTTTAAATTTTAGAGTTGTGCGTTCTTGTACAAATATGGTGATAAGCGAATTTTTACCAGTAAAAGAAAATTTACCAGTAAAAAATTCGCTTATCACCATATTTGTACAAGAACGCACAACTCTAAAATTTAAAATCAAAAACAATAACTCATTTCCAATAGCTTTTTTCGGATACAACAATACATATATTTTCGTTGTCCTCTTATTACTGAGAGAAAAAACAAGAACAACATCTATTCCATACCTGAAGATGTCTGTAGGAACAGACGAAAGCTTGTAGTAAAAATAAGAACTAATACGGCAGAAATTTATAGAAACAAGGATCTTTTCATTCATAACAGGTGCGGAGGGTTTTGTATAATATTTGAATTGTTTGCGACGATGGATTTCCCGCTAATTAAATCATTAACCTTTGTATTTGTTTTTGTATGAATAATTCATGAATATATATATATATATATATATATATATATATATATATATATATATATATATATTGTTATATCATTACGCAGCCCCAAACACATAACCACACACATACTTAGCAGCCCATCTCTTTTTCCAATCTCTCAAATAACATATGTGAATTCATCCTCTTTTTAAATATGTAATAATAGTCGCTGATTACAAAAACAATTAGGTCAATGTCGTGGCCTTGTTAAGGCCAGCAATAATGACTCAAAGAGAGGAATTGAGTTAAACAAATATATTAACAGAGACAGTAATACAAACATGAACAACGAACGTGTTACAGCAAGAATGTTCGGTCCGAATGTCAGAGCTTACTTCTTGATACATCACCCTCCAAAAGGCTATACCTGCTCCTATTTATAGCTGGGAGATCCCATGCATGCGTGGGTAAATTACCATAACAGGCTGAACCCCAGCAATAGGTCTGAGCAGAAGCTAAAAATAGATTCTTAAAGATGTGGAGAATCACGTGACCAAGTACTAACGTTGAGTGGGAAAAACTTGACAGAAGCCAGTTGGGTAACAAAACTGGGAAATGTCGGACTGGCTATGAAATCATCGCGTAACTGGAATTACCGAACTGTAGAAAATGAATGATGTTCCCAACTCATACAGATTCCAAGCACAGAATCAGGTGGCAACTAGGCTTGCGCGAATAATACCTCTTTTCACTTGTTACAGTTAAGCAAGAGAGATTACACGATGAAGGACGAATTCCAATTCAAATCGACACACTATGCTCCTGCTATCAAATGCATGTATGAATTGCGAAACGTGACCTATGTGACAGACTCAACTGGATGAAGCATCCGAATAATGAATTCTGCATTTCTGTATATACGACTTATACAGAGCTGAATGGTTATATCCGAATAACGAATGATACATTGAAGAAATCAGAAGAGATCAAAAGATTCTGCTGGTCGAGCGAAACAAACTGGCAGCGATAAGAGAATCGAATTTCAAATAAAAACTCACACTAAATGCTTTTCTCTCACATACATTTCTTGTAAAAATTCAGGGTGCATGAATGGGAACTCTCCATCTTAAATCAAAATTATAAACAATAAATATATTAAATCCTAACGTATAAGCAATATATATATATATATATATATATATATATATATATATATATATATATATCAGCGTGTATACTGACATCAACGACGAGTGGACACAGTCTATTTCATCCTTGACCGCCATCTTGGTAGTTGAGCATCAGCTATACTGATAGCATGCAGGGAGGTTTCTCTATCGTGGCTAAATGAAACCAATTTCGTTTTGGAGGCATTCAAGTTTAGATGTCATTTCCTGCCCTAGAAAGATTAGAGGTCCTTTTCGAGACCAACGGCCAGGTTAACTTTGTCAGCAATGCCGGATTTACTACCGAGACATGAGTAAATGGTACTGTCGTCTGCGTAGATGCCTAAATGAAAACAGATGAACTGCAATCGCTTTTATTTGAGCTTAAGTGCGTTTGACGTCAGTTCTCTGTAAATTGTGTTAAGCGTTGCATGATATCCCCAACTGATGTTCTGGATTTTTCTAAGCAGATTTGTAAATGTTCCATCCAGTCGTCTTTCAAGACGAACATATAATGTCCAAGTTTCTGATCCATACAGTAGGACTGGTTTAGTCAGTGTTCGAAAGGTTTGGACTTTTAAAGAGAATGTTAGATTCGAGCGCAAAGTCTTGTAAAGTTTGTTACACGCATCCTATGCAAGGCTTTTGCGGATTTTAATGATATTTTGGGAAACCATGATGTGAGATCCATGATATTGGAAGTTGTCAACTCTTTTGATGGATGTATTATTGAAGGAGTTCAAATCGGACGTATCCAGAATCTGAACTCGGCTCCCTGATTTCTAACCACATAACAAGAGAAAAAGACTTACTGTAATGCAGCGTTGAAAAAAAAATAGAGTTCTTTGCTAGAATTATAACACGGGAGTCGTACCTAATTAATGGAAATCTGAATAAATATAAGGCCCAAATGGCATTAGAAATATTTCCTTTAAAAATAATAGTAAATGTTATATCATTGTTAAACGTAAATAATTGTAGCAAACCTAACTTAAATTAGGTTCTATAGCTCGAAAATATTTCTATTTCTCCTATAAAATAATGGTATATGTTTCTTCACGTCCCTATACTTAGGCTTGCTTACGTACACGTCAGTATCTCACTGTATTCTGAAAGCGAGGTTAAAGTGTATTTGGAATAGTGATCTTAACAATTCAATGAAGAAGACAATTTAGAAGCCGAAAAATCAACTTAGTTAAAGTAAACAGAGAGAAAAGAATATGAGGGCGGGTATGGACAGAAGAATTGTGAATTCTGTAGCGAACAGAAATGTCATTATATAGCATTCAGGGAGTAAAACTTTGACAGCGAATAAGAAATAAAATTTCCATTCACACAGGCACACACACAAACACTCACACACACACACACACACACACACACACACACACACATATATATATATATATATATATATATATATATATATATATATATGCGCTTTGTAAAATTTCCTATATTTATATAGTACTATTGCTTGATATGAAAGATTTTTGAAGGCATAATGTGGGCGTACTATAAATTAAGGCGACAATGGCATTGAATAACAGTATATATTTTATCGGACTTCACTGCTTATAACTGAAGAAGATAGATAGATAGATAGATAGATAGATGCAGACTGTCCACAGATAAATAGAGAGTTTTGCAAATACTGAGATAGATAGATAGATAGATAGATAGATAGATAGATAGATAGATGTAGAATGTCCACAGGTTGAGACAAATAGAGAGTTAGGTAAATATTGAGATAGATAGATAGATAGATAGATATTGGGGGTATTCCCCAATATCTATCTATCTATCTATCTATCTTAGATAGATAAGAAAACATCGGGATCAACCAATCGATAGATGAGAACAGATTGAGATAGATGGACACGCACACACACACACACACACACACACACACACACACACACACACATATATATATATATATATATATATATATATATATATGTTACCAGTTTGCCACTGGTAGGTATAATTCCGAGGAGAATATTAATCAAGGAAGAGCTCTGTTATTATCATTATTATTATTATAATTATTATTATTAATATTATTATTATTATTTAGATACATTTGTTTCAAAATCTCAATTTAGCTGATATCATTGGGAAGAATCAGACCAGGGAAGTATCTCTGGGGGACATCCGTTAGTACGAAAGACGTGTGGCCGTTCATGACAACTTTCATTTCAAGATTTGATAGGTAAGACTGGATCAGTTGAAAAAAGTACACTGAGACAGCGTAACTTCTCAGTTTATGGAGAAGACCTGAATGTCAGGCGCTGTCAAATCCTTTCGAGATGTCTAATGCTAAAATTCGGGCTTTAACATTTTTATCTAGAGCATGAGAACCTCTCTCCGCAATTATCGTCAGTATATCAGCAGTTGACGTGAAGAAAGTAAAGCCTTAATTCTTCTCTGGGAAAAGACCCCTGCGCTGAGAGCTGCTGAACCATTTCAGCAGAGATTAGGGACTCTAGGAGTTACCCCCAAATAGGTAGAAGGCTAACAGGCCGATAGTTGGAAGGGTCAGAAAGCTCACCATATTTCTTAAAAATTGGAACAACAGATTGTGACATCCAGCAGGTACGAAAGCAGGAAGCAGAGAAATGTTTATTATGCAGTTAAGAGAAAAGCGGAACCATTTCGATGGGTGGAGGGGACATCTTAATGGATATTACAGAGATACCATCGGGACTGCATCCTTTGTGAGATGACAGCAGAAATCATATAAGGGACTAGCAGTAGAACCCGGCGTTGCCCGGGGATGTAACAGTAAGAGATACATCAATTATCGACCATCATAAAGACTGAAAAATAAAATTGACAAACATTATTGTTCAAGGTTGATGGACACGCATGTCTTAATTAGTTTTTTTTTTTTTCTACGAATTGGTCAAACCCAAACTCAAATAAAAACATTTTTTTCAATCGTTATGAGTCTACCGATTAAATAGAATTTTATTATAAACAATTGCCTTGTGAAGGGAATTTTGAAAACGCCGAGTAGATCTTAGTTGTAGTTTCTTGGTGAGATGGCATTATCTCGCTACGTCAACAGTCTGAACGAGGCCATCACGCGCAAAGCATCGATCACGATGACTTGTGACTTTGTGCTAGTGCGAGTGCAATCGTCGACGAGTCCCCAAAGAGTTGCGTCTACCCTATTTACATCACAAGGCTTTGTTTAACCCGTGGTATGGGCTTATCAAGCACTAACCAGAGGTGACGCACGCTGTGATCGCCTCTCTAAGGCTAATAATATCGATAAGTTACCTTACTGAGAAAAATCAACCAGGGTGAGATTCGTAACTCTGTCTCATGGGTAGAATGCGAATTATCTAACCACTCGGCAACCTGCCCATGCAGTTTCACACACTTACATATATATATATATATATATATATATATATATATATATATATATATATATATATAAAAGACGAATTAATGGATGAGGCAAAATAAAGATCGCAAAAAAGTAAAATAAAAAGTAAAAATGAGATATTCTCAGGGGAAGTAGTAAGTAAAATGAAAACGAAGAAAGAAAAAAATAGACAAGAAGGCAAAGAATTAAAGACGGACATATAATGTCGACGAAGAAAAAGAGCGAGAAAGCGCGAGATTTGATTAACGCGCGACAAGCAATCGGCGAGAAGTGCTAATTGGCGCACAATCAATCCGATTAGGCGGGAAACTGATGTAATTAGCGCGGGAAAACTCGACCGATCGGATGAATAAAAAGCAGCTGATAATGTCCGCGGCACTAGCAGTAAAGACCAAAGGGGAATCGAGCGCACGAATAATACGTGAGAATTGGTATAAATTAAAGATATAGGTACGAAGATAATGAAAAGTGATTATATATATATATATATATATATATATATATATATATATATATATATATATATATATATTGAAAAAATAAAAAGCAAAGTCAATCATAACCTTCTATCTTTGGATTCAGTTCTTTTATTGTTCTTTCTTTCAGATTTCTTTCTTTCTCAGTAATCCCTTGTATCTTTATCACCTTGCTTCGGGGAAAAGATGAACACACACATACACATACACACACACACACACACACACATATACATATATATATATATATATATATATATATATATATATATATATATATATATATATAGGTACGTCTTTTAAAGCAACAATACTTCCTAAATCTATGTACCATTAAAGTAATTTATAATATAGTCCCAGAGATAACAAGTGTGTCGCCGGGAATATGTAGGTTTTGTATATCCTGTGTCACACGTTTGGTATTTTTATTTAACATATATTACCAAAGTTAACTGCACTAAAATTTAAAAATAAAAAGATAGAACATCAATAAAAAATAACATAATACATAGATTAACGAGAATAATCGTTAAAAATGAAGGTATTATATCCATTAATCATTGCAAAAACACCAAACTAGAAACTTCCTTAATAAAAATAATATACCAAAATCTTTCAATAACCTATTTTTCGTATGCGCCCAATCGAAGAATTTTTCTCTGTAAATGAAAAACACAAAACTTTTTACATAGTACATACCACAATCACATTTTCACAGAGACTCAACTGCCATCTACCAGACCTCAACGCTATCAAACAACACATTAATAAAGAGCAAAAGAGACATTAGACTACTGCTCACAATTGATATTCTAAGAGTAGCGTAGATGTGGCAAACGGCCAAACATATGGAGTTCCCACTGTGGATCGAACTTACTATTCAGTCGTCTTGTTTTATCGAGACGAGCTTGCGAAACCTGACACCACGTCGAGTTCCCCAAGACTGCTGTTCACAAAAAAATTCTAGTCTAATAGCAGATAATAATGATTCTCGAAGCAATAATCAGGCAACCTCAATAGAACAATTATGATATAAGGGTAACATATATATATATATATATATATATATATATATATATATATATATATATATATATATATATAGTTGTATATTTAGGCAGCAATCGTTCCTTTATGCATGTTTCATTAAAAATGACAGACAAGGTACTACGGTTAAGCTTTTTATTTAATTTTTCTTGTGCTCTGACAAGGGCTTTCTTTTCTGGACAAAGGGTGTGTAAGAACTTTCCAAATAACAACACACCAACTAAGTCAAAATTACAAAGAACGAACATTATCTATGAGTTCAAATGCCCCTTAAGGAACTGTGTTCCTAATCAAACTGGACTCATAAATAATTACATCAGTTACACAACCACATGCTTATCCAGACATCTTATGTTACACCTATCTGATCACAGCTCCATTAGAACCCATTTAAACACACACACAGATTTACCCGATTCCATTAGGAACATACTAGTAGAAAACACAAATATATTAGCTGCATCCACCTGTAAAAAAAAGACTAAAAATAACGGAAGCTTTAATAATAAAAAAGAAAAAGCCAACTCTTAACAATATTAACTACGAACAAAGCCACAATGTGCTACCGTATTCGGAAATTAAAAAAAAACATCCCTACCACACACTGATACATACACAGAACGCATACACTCAATTAAGCTGAAAAATCGAGTCATCCTTGATAATGGCTAAATGTATAGCCGAAAGCGCTCGGAAATATGAAACATTTGGACAGTTCTTATACATCCTTTATCCAGAAAAGAAAGGTCTTGTCAGAACACAAGAAAAATTAAATAAAAAGCTAAACCGTAGTACCTTGTCTGTCGTTTTTGATGAAACATGCATATATATATATATATATATATATATATATATATATATATATATATATATATATATATATATATATACTGGTTTAACTTCAAGAAAGTATATCCGCTTTTAGCACTTTACTTCTAACGTTTAATAAGTAAGAGTTTTTGGGTTTTTTTAAAAATCACTTTGTAACATAAGTTATTAAATTAAGAAATTTGTATCGAAATACCTTGATGAAGACATCAAAAAGTCGAAACCTTGGAACACTGATTTACATTCCCTTCCGAAGTGAACTTTGCACACTTCATAGAATGATAGATACATAGAAAGATAAATCAACTGATCCGAAGAGATTGCGATAAATAGATAGATAGATAGATAGATAGATAGATAGAAAATGAACTGATTCAAATAGATAGATAGATAGATAGATAGAACTAGATTCAAATAGATAGAAAATAAACTGATAAATAGATAGATAGATAGATAGATAGATAGATAGAAAATAAACTGACTCAAATAGATAGATAGATAGATAGATAGATAGATAGAAAATGAACTGATTCAAATAGATAGATAGAGAGAGATAAAGATAGATACTGACTCAAATAGATAGATAGATAGATAGATAGATAGAAAATGAACTGATAGATAGATAGAAATAGATAGATAGAAAATGAACTGATTCAAATAGATAGATAGAGAGATAGATAGATAGATAGATAGATAGATAGATAGATAGAAAATAAACTGACTCAAATAGATAGATAGATAGATAGATAGATAGAAAATGAACTGACTCAAATAGATAGATAGATAGATAGATAGATAGATAGATAGATAGAAAATGAACTGATTCAAATAGATAGATAGATAGATAGATAGATAGATAGATAGATAGATAGATAGAAAATAAACTGACTCAAATAGATAGATAGATAGATAGATAGATAGATAGATAGATAGAAATAATTTTTATAATCCATAGCCCTAATAAATAGTTTAAATACCCTACAAAAAAAGATAACCCTTTATGAAGTCGTCAAAAAACAAATGTTACGGCAGTTTTTTTATATACACAAAACACTTTCAGAAAGAAATAAAATAAAAAAAATAAATAAATCTCCATAGACACGTAAACCAGACTAGGCGAAAACATCTTCCGTTTTAAATTTAGACACCCCCAACTTACCCTGACTTGACATCTATGAATGTAACTCTATAATGATACAAATTATTAACACCCAACACCCCTCCCTATTTAAACAATCGCTCTGGCTGTTACCATGGAAATTTTGATTTCAATAATGAATATGCTATTAAAACACGTAAATTTCAGAAATAAGTTATTCCAAAAAAAATTTGGCTTGAAGATGGAACAAAGCTTACTTTAATTCAATTTAATTCAAATAATTATATTGAAGTTTTCGGCTCTTGTTTTGAAACATGCGGCCTCTTATGTAGCGTGTTGAAATCATATTTTTAAATAAATAATTATATATATATATATATATATATATATATATATACGTTTATTAATGTTTTCTGGTTTTACTTCATTTTTATAAATACTAATATTTAAGTAAATGCCTCGTTTATTAAAAACAGTATTAACAACATTTACCGGCCTGAATAGAAAATATATATCCTCGGACAACAATCGAACCTGTATACTCCCTGTATACTCCAGAGAAGTTTCACATTCCCATACCCTTTATCATTTAGTTACAGCGGAAGCGTCTTGTTAGCAAAGTCAAATTACTGGATATATATATATATATATATATATATATATATATATATATATATATATAGATATATATATATATAGATAACTGAAATAGATAGATAGATAGATAGATAGATAGATAGATAGATAGATAAAGCCAAAACTGATATGGATAGACAGACAGACAGATAGATAGATAGATAGATAGATAGATAGATAGATAGATTAAAATTGAAATTTACCTTGTGAGATATACACATTTTTAGGCACACAATCCAAGATAGAATACAACAAGGAGAGAGAGAGAGAGAGAGAGAGAGAGAGAGAGAGAGAGAGAAAAAAAAGAGAGAGAGAAATAGATGTAAGAGAAGAGAGTGGTATGAAGAGTACTAATGATGCTTGTTCTTCCATGTCTAATTCCGATTAGACAAATTTTAAAGAATATGATGTACTTGTTATTCGGAGAATGGAAACACTTGTGTAATGAATGGATGACGTCAGTGTAAATAAATCTTTGAAGGAAAGCAAATTGATCAAATGATCTTGATGAAGACGAAAACGTATATAATAAAAGCGCCGTGTACGTGTGTCCGTCTGTTCGTCTGGTTTTCGGTCTCGGTGGATCATAAACAACCTGAATTAATAGGTAGTAACTACTGTAGTTACAGTCGATTAAAAATGAAATAAAAAACACTTATAGTCAAATTGAAGCATATCCGGGAAAATTTGGGAGACGACTAAACAAAGTCCATATTTGCAAATTATTTTCGAATTCTCTCCCCATTCTTAGAAACATTGCCGCTGTCCGTGAATGGTGAAAGACTTACACAGACACACCCGCGTGTGCGCATCTAACTATATATCTATCTATAGAAGGCGCGATGGGTAAAGTGTCGCCATATTATACATTCAATTTCGCGCTTGCGTGTTGCTTGTTTGTGATTTTGTTGAATACGCAGTATAGTAGGTTTATTTGCCCATCGTCTTTGAGAAAAAAGTGCACCATGGCGCACTTTAATCCGCCAGAAATTTGGAAACGGCATGCTGTACTGCTTGTCATACAACCCGGAAAGTCCAATACGGACATTTCAGAATGTTCGGGTGTCAATATGAGTAGAGTGCAGAGGATTCGAAAAAAGTTGGATGAGTCTAATGCTGATTATAAAGGTACGGCAGCTCGGAAAACTGACTCTGATCGTTTTGTAAAGAAAAGAAATCCCGAATTTGTTATTTAGACCCTCGGCCTTAACACGGAGGCCTACATCAAGGGCCTTGAAGAGATAGTGGTGGAAGACCCTTTTTCAGGCAACATGAATTTGCATTATGCCACAGATGCAGAACAAACATGACTGTTAGACAATTTCTACGGACACCTCAGTCCTTACGTCTAGCCACCTAACTCCCTAGATTGCAATCCTCTTTGATTACTATGAGTGGGGCGTATTTGAGCTAGAGACCAACAAAACTCCTTGTAACAGTAAAGATGTTCTGAAGGCAAGGATTATGGCAGCATTCACCATCTTAAACAAGGAGACCACCCAGAAGATACCCAGGAGATTCCGAAGTTGTCTGGAGGCCGTGGTTGGAGCCAATGGCGATTTTATTGAATACATTTACTCTTTAGTATTTCGAGATATTTTTGCGAAATTTCGGTATCTGTTAAAATCTCTCTCTCTCTCTCTCTCTATATATATATATATATATATATATATATATATATATATATATATATATGGCTCAATCACTAATATTCCATGATTATAGTCACGATCCATTTCATCAGACCTACAAAATCAAAAACCTTTTTGAATTTATAGGTCTGATGAATTGAATCGTGATTACCATTCAATCTAATAAATTATAACCATGGAATATTAGTGTTTGAGCCTTTGTATATTATATTCTTAGTCTATCCTGGTTCTACCTGGATTCTATCCTCTTAGGAATATATAATTATTTATATATTATATGCGCGGTACTTATTAGAAAGCGCTCAATATCAGAGATAGAGTTAACATATTTGGTTGGATAGATGTATCCAACCAATATATATATATATATATATATATATATATATATATATATATATATATATATATATATATATATATCCAACCAAATATATATATATATATATATATATATATATATATATATATATATATACGACCAATACTATCTATCTATCTATCTATCTATATATATATATATATATATATATATATATATATTGACGACTAACATCTATCTATCTATCTATCTATCTATCTATCTCTCTCTCTCTCTCTCTCTCTCTCTCTATATATATATATATATATATATATATATATATATATATATATGTATATTAGGAGCATCGAACCAATTGTGGTAGCAGTATCCAATGAATAGACGAATGTTTGTATTTTAAATGCGTAAGACAAATTCTGCTGATAAATATTGTCTGGCACGATACATGTAACCAAATTTTCCAGTAGCAGATTTAGCAAGTGTTTCAATGTAATCTTTTCACTTCATGTCAGCGGAAAAATTAAGTCAGAAAATGCGCAGTAATGCAACAATATAATCAGGCATGTATAATGGATAATATAAAATATTTTGCATCTGATTTTCCATGGCTTGTCAGCGAAACGGAAACCTTGACATCTTTCTCACGCTGTAGATATTCCATTAATTAAGCGCGAAGTTAATAAAGAGGAAATGTTTTCAGGAAAGGTTATTAAAAGGTATGAGTTTTATGCCTGGGAAAAATGATAAAATTTGATAAATTCATATTATTAAGCGTAAATAAAATCAATAAATTAATACAAATCAAATGAGAAGGACATGACGGAAATCATTTCATACGAATAAGAAGCTATGAATTTGGACGAAAAGATACGGAATATTATAATTTAATCGCTGGAGCTTCGGTGTTCGTCTCAAGACAATTGCGGTGCATTTCTTTGAAATTTCCTTTTCCTTTTCGATCGTATTGTGTCGATGCCTAAGTGCAAAGCGTTGTTCACGTTGTTTAGAAAATCCTAAAACTAAAAGGGTCTGTGAGGTGCATGTTTTTTCTCGGTATTATCCCAAGCAAGGCAGTAAATCCACTAAAACGCGCGGGGCTACAGGGCGTGGAGGAATTAGGAATAGAAACGTTAGTAATGAGCAGAAAGAGAAAAGAGCAATCAGGAGGACAGTAGATAGCGTTTGACATTACATTTAATTTTTTGCAGATTAATGGTGGCTAGAAATCTGGAACCGGAAGTGAGTTCCACAAGCGAAAAGAGCGAGATATGAAACTGTCAGCATAGAAGTCACGGCTACATCTCGTCAGCTCAACTGTAAATTGATGAGATCTCGCCGCCAGTCTAGTATTGCACGTAAAATCATTATATAGGATAATGCTATATTATTTTTTGTATTGTGGTGTTTAGTCTCTTATGTAGCGAAGGAATCATATTTTTAAACAAAAAATTATATATATATATATATATATATATATATATATATATATATATATATATATATATATATATATAAGAACAGTTTTCAAAAAAAAAAAAAAGATGGATGACAAATTGGTTGTTTAGAAAATCCTAAAACTAAAAATTGTCATTGAAGAACATTTTTTTCAACTGGCATCACCCCCAGGCTAGGCACCACACACACTAGCAATGAAGGGGTTATTGAGTGTGGAAGAATTAGGAACAGAAACTTTAATAATTAGCAAGGAGAGAAAAGAGTAATCAGGAGGACAGTAGATAGCGATTGACATTGTATTTAATTTTTTGGCAGAATAAAATTGGCTGGGAAGCATGAAGACGCAAGCGAGTTCGACAAGCGAGAAGTGCGAGATAAAAAAAAATGTCAGTCTAGAATTTAGTCTGTAATTTCTACCAAAAATAGAAAAAAATGCATATGGTTAGATTTAAGTCACTTAACTACAATACGTGATACACGCTTGGGCAATTTCTTTCGTTTCATGACTGACTAAGTATACGATTATCTTGCTATAGTTTACCGTTTCTTTCTGTGGTGGACTGATTGAACAACCAAAACTATAGGATCATGGTGACATTCCAAACAGAGTATTTTTGTCAGGATGCTAAGGCTCTAATCACTTTGTTCCCATGCCCAGTGTCTGTCTGTTAAGTGATAGACGCTTTGGCAATCTCTTCCGATTCATGACTGACGAGGCAGAACATCTTCATGCAGTAGGCAGCCATTTCCTTCTGCGACAGACTGGTTCCCATCCAAATTCATAAAACCAATTCTTTCCTGCTCTTCAAAACATAGATGGCGGTCAGTAGAGACGGATTGATACTTTTCCCAACGGAATTTGCGCATAAGTGATTGCAACGAACCTGACTGGAATTCGAACACGACTCCCATACGATTTCTCATAGACTAACTAAACATTCTAGGTAGCAACGATTCTCACCTTTTCTATTTTCAGTTCAGAAAATGCCCAAACCTTCCCTGGTAAGGTCTTTAAGTCTATCAGGTTTCGCTTTTATTAAAGCTTCATCACGTAAAAATATTTCCTTTCTCTGATGAAGAGTTAATAAATGCAAAAGATTTTAGATTTTTAAACATCGATTTCTTCAGTATCCTACCATTCTGTCTTATTTCGATATTTGATCCCACTTTACACACACACACACACACACACAAAGATATATATATATATATATATATATATATATATATATATATATATATATATATATGTATGTATGTATGTATGTATGTATGTATGTATGTATATATATAAATGAAAAGAAAGAACAGTAAGATATATAATCCGGGGTTCTTATAGATATTTTTATTTAAACAAAACACTGCTCAACGTAAATTTACAAAGCATTAATATTATATATTAACTGATTTAAAATATGTTTTTTTTCGCTTTTTTTTTTTTGAGGTGGGGTTAACTTATTTTTAAATTTACTGGGTTTTAAAGGCACGGCAAAAAAAAAAAACAAAAAACAAAAAAAAAAACAGTAAATTTAAAAATAAGTTACTCCAAAATTCGTTTGAGGATGAAATGGAACTAATGTCTTTAATTTAATTACAATATTAAATTCGAAGCTTTTAGCTTCCATTTTTGAAACATGGTTAGAACTGTGTAGCGAAAGAACATATTTTAAATCAGTTAATATATATATATATATATATATATATATATATATATATATATATATGTAATAAATCCCTTCGTATATAATCCAAGTGGGTTCAAATAATATAAAATATTAAAACTGATCCACAAAAAGAGCCCAATGTATTTATTATAACAGAGCATATCAATAGAATCACATTGTTTTACACAAGAGTTGAATAGGACTGCTGTAGTTTTCGTCGGTTGAAATAGATCTATTTCCCGCCATATGAGGTAATTTTGGATTTTGTTGTGAATAATATATGAGTAACTTTCGACATGAACCAAGAACTATATAGAAAAGATATAGAATAAATATTAAGAACATTTTTTAAAGGTCCTACTTTTTCATTCTTTTCTTTCATCCCGATTGACGCTAGCTTAGAGGGGGGGGAGTACTTATGATTTATTATTTCAGAACGAACGCAAACAAACACACAGAGATTTCTTTCTTTCATTTTTGGATCTGATGAAGCCTATAAAGGCGAAATGTGTAATCAGATGTAGTTTCAATGAAACGGTTTTCCATTTGTCTTATTTCTTCATATTTTCTTCATATTTTTGTGTCTTTGAGTGTGTGTGTGTGTGTGTGTGTGTGTGTGTGTGTATTGGAACCCCATATAAAAAAATAACCACGAGGCTAATAACCAGCATTTTAGTTGGAAGTAACTTTCAAATGTTCCGCAAACGTTATTAAAATATTTCAATTAACATATTAATAGGTAACTTGGTGATAGATCGAACGAAAAAGAAATTCCAGAGCGAGTATATTAAAATGTAACTGTCTCCCGATTATCCAAATTTGGAGCAAGATCAGATAGGAGTGATAGAGGAAATGATGAGGAGAAGGATAGTGGATAGATCAAGGCAACTGCAGATGTCGATTGACATTATATTTGAATAGCGATTAGATAGAGAGATTATAGCTCTCAGGGAAACAAGAATAGAAAAGAGAGTTCCACGGGCGAGAGGTGCGAGGCATGAAGGTATTGGATTAGAAGAGACGGCTACATTTAATAGTTTCAGCAGTGAAAGGGTGAGAGCGGGATGCCAGCCTCGTAGGGCGCTTGAATTCATGAAGTCTAGGAACCAGCGAACGCAGCTCCTCGGAGCAATTACCATGAAAGTATTTGTAAAAAAGACAGAGAGAGGCGACGGCGCGTCTGTGAGAGAGCAACTGTAGACGAGATGCCAGATCAGGGCCAATTATATTGTATATCCACCTCTGGATCTTGTCAAGAACTCCGAGGTAAACAGAAAGTACACCAGACCATATATGGCAGTAATACTCCATGCAAGGGCGAATGGTTGATTTGTATATTTGAAGTATCGATTCCGGGGAGAAAAAAATTTCCTGGCCCAGGTCTGGGAGCCAACTTTCCTTGCGGTGGACAAAGCAATTGACTCAATGTATTTGTTCCATCTCAGTTCAGCTGTATATATATATATATATATATATATATATATATATATATATATATAAGCAGTCAATATCGAGAAGGAACAGTCTTTAGGACTGCAGATAGCTCTCAAGATTGAATTTTTATATTTACAAACATAATCTCCCTGATATTGAGAACATTAACTCATATTTATAGCGTTTCTCAACACCATATCTTCCTTATTTAAATATGTGTGTGTGTCATTGTGTGTGTGTATGTGTGTACGAGGGTAAATCAAATATAATCCTTACTTAAAATTGTCATAATATATCTTTAGGTTCGTCACACTGTCTTTAATTCATGCCTGATAGAAGTTTTTTTTCTACATTAAGATACACTCTGTACAAGACACAGGGCCCACTCATAATAGATGATTAAACTAGGCGCTGGTTCATACTGGCAGGAGGGGAGATAACGGTTAGCCCTAGACTTGAAAAATTTAAGATTATATTGATTGGGGAAACATCGTCATGTGAGTCGGTTTCACAGAGTAGTAGTCCGCGGGAGGGAATCTGTTTGAGTGACACCGACTATTTGCCGGTGGAATACGAATGGTTTGCTACAATATAACAGGTATGGCGGATCCTAGTCGTGAAGATTAGACCTCGCAAATGCTTTTGAACAATGTCGACAATGGAAAGTGAAAACTGGGGAACTCTTGACCAATTATGGCAACAGTAGGCCATTTTCAACCTGATCTGGCTCTTATATTGGTAGAGGAGTTAAGTACTTACGGGAGTGTTACAAGGAGCCGACCATTTCTCTTGGATCTTTGGTGATGGATCTGGACAATTGCGGTCAGGTCACCGAAATTTGAACTTGATCACGTCAGTTTTCTTCCTACTGTTACAGCGCAAACTTGGCCGCTCCACTAGCCGAAACATAGATCAGTGATTTTGTTATTCATATGTGTTTTGGAGCGTGCATTGCTGCAACGCTAGACATCTTGTTCAAATAGATTAAGTGGGAATGATTTTTGTACGCCCTAAACATATATTCAACTGTCAATATATAGCATAATTTAAAAAAAAACATTTTTCGGTCTACACATATTTCGT